GCTATTAATGTAAGCGGCAATCAGTGAAAATCATAGTCTCACGTGACGACAGTTGAAAAGGAAAAATACTGCCGATACAAGGTTATTACTGACAGACAATGGAACAATGTACAATCTGTGCGATCAATAGTGGCAACAAGTGACAAAGACAGCATTAGTACAACCGGTATATGTAGTAATGACTAAAAGATTTACAAATTATACATTATACATAAAAAAAATAATTTTATAAGAAAAATCATATCCTACCGAAATAAACACATTAATATGAAGAAATGGCATGATGCCATGGCAGACAAAGTTAGTGACAAATCAAAGTTCATACTTTCATTCAGATTTAAGATGAAGTGAAAAAGTTTACATTGTAGCAATTAATTTTCAAATGCAACATCAATCATGAAATAATATAATATGCAATGTATTGTGAAATAATAATTAAATGCAAGTGGCAGATAATTAAATTTGACACCCTAAATTACAACAATGAATCATTATAATCAATATTATTTTTTAATTTTTCATCTTGTTTTAAAAATGTGTCACTAATTTTTTGCATGAAATGAAAAGAAAATTTCAATATTACAGATAGATGTCAATAAATTGTGTATTCTTGTTCTCCATATGGTCTATCACATGTATCACCAATGAGATCTGATCTAAAATGGTTGCCATGACATCACTATCAATCAAATTCAGTCACAGCTTTGTACCGTTTGACATGAATTTAAAATTTTAATTAAAAACCTGAAATTCAGTCAAACACTTTGTCTACCATATTGTCTTACAATGTATACATTCAGTATTTAAATATAAATAGAGGTATCAAAACATGTTTTGTTAGTGAACAAACCTTTATACATTTAATTTCTAGTGAAACCCAAAATATTAAAACCTAAACGCGTTGAGTTCCATCACAAATCCTAAAATATTGCCACAATCATACAAACACACACATGGCACATAAAAAAAAAATTTGCAAAAGGTAACAGTTGCTGACATTATTAACAGCTAATCACACTGCATGTGTGATGAGAAATACAGCAAGTCATACATCCATATGGAATTTGCCAAACATTAGGAAAAAATACCTTTACCATCTATGAAAAAATTCAAAATCTCCATATTTCATCTCTCACCTAATAATGACTTTTCTACCACTACCACTGCGACCACCGCTATGGCCGCCACGACCGTGGCCATGACCGTGACCACCACCACAACCACTACTACTACATCTTCCACTACGACTGCTGCTGCCGCCACCGCCGCCACGACCGTGACCACCACCACCACCACTACTACTACATCTTCCACTACGACTGCTGCTGCCGCTGCCACGACGACCACCACCACCACTGCTACATCTTCCACTACTGCTATCCCTACTACTACTACTACTACTACTGCTGCTGCTGCTACCACTACATACTACAGCTAAGTGAATATGAACTGGCTGGCAATAAAAAGTTATCTCTGCTATCAAATGGCCATACCAATGAAATATTTAGTAAACCATACACTCATTTCAGATCACCTATTACATTTAATTTATAAATATTTAAATAACATTTTAAAAGCACTAAATGGCAACCAATCAAAACTGAGATATTGATGTCACTAGTATAGATGAATTTCAAAATGACCTTAACATCATGCAATCAGCTTTCTACACATACAATACAAAAGAGCATTCCAATATTGAATCACAGCCTCATTTGAATTTCAATCAAAATTTATAAATATTATAAAAAAAATAATGTTAACAGCATCAAAAATCTATATATAATAATGAAAAATTATAGGAGTAATATTTGCGATATAATAAAAATAATATATTTTTTAATATTATGTACTACATACACTCATGAGAAGGCTTTTCATGAAATTAGATTAGTATACTATACAAATATTGTAATTAAGCCCTGCTAGGCACATGCAGCTTGTGTGACGATTCTATTAAACTCAACACCACCACCCACCCATTTTTAAATAATTGGTTTTTATATTTTAGTTGATGAGAAACAATAAATATAACCAGTATTGCCAACTTGAGGATTCTATTAAAATTCAGGAAAACATGCTGGTAACAACCTGTTGAGTTGAAAATTGAACATCAGAAAACGAATGGATGCTAATTACCGGTGAGACATTCTATACAAACCCTATTATACTGTTTGATATTCATTTGAATGAAATACAACATCAGATATTAATATTATGCAAATTTACTTTAATTAAGGTGATTAAGTAAATAATGTTAGATTTCACCAGTTCCTGTGATAATATTCAAGGAGGATAATTTGTTGCAAATTACTTGTAATAATATCAATTGGCTGGTTGTCGGGAACATTCTATTATGTGTCAGGAGGGGTGCTATGGTATTGGAAATCTAAGTGCACAAATTTGCAAAAAGGGTAGCCGAATGCAATCATTTCAAAAATCATGCTTGAGTTTGCTGCATTTCATACATTTTGTAACTTTTATACCAACATTTCTCACTTCAAATATATTCCCCACAAAACTGAGACATCATCCTCTAAACAGTCGGCCTACGTTAACTCAAACAATGGTGAAACTGCACAACAGGAATCAGGTACAGCAAACATCTGAGCACTTACATTCCTCAATAGAAATTCTTGTTATATTCTACAATACTCATCAAACTTTGTGCATAATGAGAGTCTATACACAAGCTGAATATTCAAAATAGCATGTCTATTATATGTACCGGTAGGTGTTGTAACTTGTCCTAGTTTTGACACCATGCTATTACCTCAGTAACAAAGTAAAAAGTGTAGTATCACACCCATGTACTGAATTATGAAATGCATATCACCACAGTGTGACATTACAACAATGTGATATAGAGTCTATGTATATGATAATATGAGGTCATTACAAGGATACCGAAAAGTATGCAAGAACACAGTACAGTGAGAGTATCAACCCACGTGCAGCGGAGGTCAATGCAATGGCGTACTGTTGGAGTGCATACTTTGAGGTATCTTTGTAATAACCTTATTTTTATACGTTATACCTTCCAAGGACACATCAAGGGAATGCCGAAATCCAAAACGTTTAGAACATAATCAGCGAACTTCTTTGTGTTGAGTCCGGTCAAACCCTGGTGGCAGCCATGTTTGTTTTTATTATTAGGGTACGCTTACGCACGTAATCATTCCATATTTGGAATTTGCATTTCCTAATGTGGTAGGATGAAAATACCATGCGTACTGTTTGAGTGCATACTTCGAGGTATCCTTGTAATAACCTTATTTTTATACATTTTTCCTTCCAAGGATACATCAAGGGAATGCCGAAATCCAAAATGTTTAGAACAGAATCAGCGAACTTCTTTGTGTTGAGTTCGGTCGAATCCTGGTGACAGCCATGTTTGTTTTTATTATTAGAGAACGCTTACGCACGTAATCATTCCATATTTGGAATTTGCATTTCCTAATAGGGTAGGATGAAAATACCCTGTAAATACCGTAAAATTATGTGACGCTGTAACTTGTGGTGTTACGGTGACAGAAGTATGATAATGATATTTACTAGCTGAAAAGCTTGAAGTAAAATAATTTGTATTGTTTATATTGTTTGTTTATCTTTAATGTATTATTTTTCAAATTGTTATTTATTCTCCACATTACAGTACAAATCCCTTCTTACCAACACATACTACCAGAGAAAAGTCTTCAGCATCACTTATCAATATTGTTTTTATTTGAATAAAGAAATATGATACTCACTTGTAAGCAGCTTTACCATGTTCAATTCCAGCAACAAATATTCCGACATCTCCTTTCCTGGATCCCTTCCCTCCTGTGATGCGTATTCCCAAACCTTCTCTTCCCTTCACCAGATGCATTTTTATAACCGCTCTTTTCTGAAATAAAAAACAAGTATTGTTAGAGAATGGAGTTCATATGGTAATAAATAAGACCTACAGTAACAGTTCGTGATTCGTTACTGCACTAGGTGGGAATAAATCCTAAATAAGTAACTACCTATACTATGCAAATATCCCCATCACTGACTTTCAATGGCATTATGGAAAATAAAAAGATCAGTTTTGAACATCATTTGATGATGTCTCTGCTGGGGATTTCCTGAAGTATTCACAAGAACAATTTGACTAATAGAATTCAAAATTACTAACTGAGAATTTCATTAATTTTTGTGAGCAACTTGGAGAAAATAAAGGGTACTAATTATGCGTGTATTCAGAAGATGCTTTAACTTGAAAATTATACTTGCCCATTTTGTAGCTCTTGGCAGTATAAATGAGATGTTTGAATCATGTCTGTTCACAGTATTATGACTTGTGACAAATGGTGCACCCTCTTTATTGACAGCACTATGACTGGTGACTGGTGTCATCTTTCTTTCTTGTTCAGGCTGGTCTTGATATGGTACAGGGCTATGTGGTTGTCGTTTTGGAGGAGATGGCGGTGGTACTGTAGGTTTCTTGGGTGGTGCTGGTGCTTTCCTTTTTATTTTTCTCAGCATAATTAAACAAACTTTTCCACTCAACAATTCATTTTGTAGAATTTCTCTGCAATAAAAGAAATACTATTAATATTCCACTGTCTATGTATATTTAATTATAGAGAACACATTTTTGTTTCTGGAAAATGTTTTTATTCATAAGATACTACCTGTATAACGTAAATCAGCACAAATAGTATGTAAACATGTACTTCAAAAGTTTTATTCATTTACACACAACCTTGAGATCTTTAAAGTGGCTCCATAAATTACACCAACCTACAAAGATAGTTGTGGAATGTGTCAGACACCCAAGGTTTGAAGCACTGCTGTTTCAGATTTTATAAACACGGTCCAGATTATCACAACTATTTTTCCACATCCCAAATTAATTGAAATCGACATATAGATTAGCACTGAGTAAAAATATGTAATAATCAATAAACTATCTACTGACCTACTCTGAATAACCATACAATGAACAGCTTCAATTTTACAGAAAAAAAATTGTCAAAGATTTTGCAAGTAGATGAAAATCATGAAATTTTGTATTTGACAATTTATGTGGTGCAAAAGACATTGAGTGACAGTCACTGCTTTATGATGAATGACACTGAATAATTAAAAAACAATAGACCATTTTTCGTTCACTGCGAGAATCATGCGTTATGCGTGAAATTGAACGTAAAAACAGGACAAACAAAGGTCATAGCGTCGTAGTCGCGTCAAACATCGCGTGGGATTCGACAAACGCGAAAGTATTTCGGGGACATTTCCATGTTTAATAATGTGCTGTCCACATTTGATGATAGGCAATTTCGATTAAGTAAGGGTATTCGGAAGCAATATTCCTCTGTCAAAGATAGGCCGGCCAATGTAAGCTACGAAATAAAGAAATTCTAGTTCAAAATCAAATCGTTCGATTTTTGCGGCTGACGTTCGACACGCGTCTTTCATGCATCTTCGCAAGATCTCGAAATTGTACGGAAAATCATCTATTCCCATCAGAGAAAATTAAACAGTATATGCATATAAGAAATCAAAACACACGCAGATACAGAGTTATCGACCAGGAATACCAACCTATCATTCATGCAAGACACTGTTGCACACAGTAACAGGTTGCAAGGAATACTTCACCTACATGTAGTATTGTTCAACTGTAGATGATTATTATCAGTAAGTGGTTGTATTTTTTTTTCTTAGCAGTAAATACTTCAGAACAACCCAGCCACTCAGGTCAGCTTGGAGGGACTCAATAACCACCCACACAGGTCAGCTTGGAGGGACTCAATAACCACACACTCAGGTCAGCTTGGAGGGACTCAATAACCACCCACACAGGTCAGCTTGGAGGGACTCAATAACCACCCACTCAGGTCAAATTGGAGGGACACAACCACCCACACAGGTCAGCTTGGAGGGACACAATAACCACCCACACAGGTCAGCTTGGAGGAACTCTATAACCACCCACTCAGGTCAGCTTGGAGGGACTCAATAACCACCCACACAGGTCAGCTTGGAGGGACTCAATAACCACACACTCAGGTCAGCTTGGAGGGACTCAATAACCACCCACTCAGGTCAGCTTGGAGGGACTCAATAACCACCCACTCAGGTCAGCTTGGAGGGACTCAATAACCACACACTCAGGTCAGCTTGGAGGGACTCAATAACCACCCACACAGGTCAGCTTGGAGGGACTCAATAACCACACACTCAGGTCAGCTTGGAGGGACTCAATAACCACCCACTCAGGTTAGCTTGGAGGGACTCAATAACCACACACTCAAGTCAGCTTGGAGGGACTCAATAACCACCCACACAGGTCAGCTTGGAGGGACTCAATAACCACACACAGGTCAGCTTGGAGGGACTCAATAACCACCCACTCAGGTCAGCTTGGAGGGACTCAATAACCACCCACTCAGGTCAGCTTGGAGGGACTCAATAACCACCCACACAGGTCAGCTTGGAGGGACTGAATAACCACCCACTCAGGTCAGCTTGGAGGGACTCAATAACCACCCACACAGGTCAGCTTGGAGGGACTCAATAACCACCCACTCAGGTCAGCTTGGAGGGACTCAATAACCACCCACACAGGTCAGCTTGGAGGGACTCAATAACCACCCACAAAGACCCACTTAGTAGGATTTAAGGTAGCAGGACTATTATTTGCATACTTGTTTTCATCTTCTAATTGTGACTGAATGACTACAAATAGACCCGGGAAAGTATATATTTTTAGAATCGCCAGACTTCAAGCTTTTCACAAGTGTATTTTGCATGCCCGTATCTGCATTCTACGACGCGTTACTCAATCAAAGGTGAAAAATTACTTTTTCCGTAAAAAAAATAATTATGCATTTATGCTGGCGGTAAGAAGTATTTTTTTCACTTTTCCTAGTTGTTCAATAGTCTGGTAAATTGAATGTGTCTGGTCAGTTTTATTCAAGCAACGAGTTTTAAAAAATACTGTGCTGAATTTCAATTACTGTTTTAGTCGCATTGCCCCCAACTCAAACCACAACTCGTTGGTAAATAATCAATGAAATAGTTTGTCT